ATACATCCATTGTGTCAAGCACATTTGTACATTTGTTGCCATCATCATTCTCAAAACATTTGCTTTCTACTTGAGCCCTTGGTATCAACTCCTCATTTATTCCCCCTCCCTCCCCCACCCTCCTTCCCTCGTGAACCCTTGATAATTTATAAATTATTATTTTGTCATATCTTATACTGTCCAACGTCTCCCTTCATCCACTTCTCCAATGTATCACTTCTAATGAATTGTTTCATTGATGAACTAACATGTGGTTGGAGAAGCGGAAGGCTTTTCATTCGTTCAGACAGCTTCCTTAGGGCCAATCCCCACCCTAGCATGACAGGGTCAAGTGGCTTCCACGTCTTCTTCTGACTTGATGAGATGCAAACTGCCTTCCAAAAATATTTGTCTTTTGCAAATGACAGTGCCTCCAGCGAGGCACATGCGTGTAAACCAACTCCGCCCCTTGTGGGATATAAAGAGACTTTCCCCCAGCTTTGTCTCCCCCAAAGATATGCCAAACATTAGAGGCTATTTGCTAGCACATGGCGGGAGGTCAGATGCATTTCTGCCTCAGATTACTGTCTGGTCCCACCACAGGTGGAGCCCACTCACTGCTGTTAAGGATAATGGATTACTTCTCCCTGAAGGCTGTCAGCCATCAGTCTGGCCCACTGTAGGTGGGGTTTACACCCTACTGATATTGGTTTCTCCAGTGAGCCAGAGAACAGGTCAAACGTGCTCAGTGAGACCCAAAGTCAGGCTGCCTCCCTGTATAGAGGATCCACCCTTCTTGTCACATGTGTACCCCAGTCCTTCCCCTTCCTATTGCATGCATACCCCTAGATTGTCCCTCTCCCATTACTGTTTTACCTATAGTACAACCCTTTCCTGTGATGGATGTCTTTACCTGTAATTAGTGGGCTTGCATGTCCCCCAGAGATATATAAGCCTTGGTTAAAAATAAAGAGCTCTCTCTCCTGGTCCTCTCTCTTCCTGTCCTCCTTCCCCTGCCCCTCTCTCCTGCCCCATTTCCTGGCCTGCGCCACCAAGAGGAGCTGAGGTGAGCATGCTACCATGAGATGTGTCTGACTCCATTATTTCAATCTCTCTTCTAACTCTCCTTGTTCTCTCTGACTTTATTATAATATATATATGTATTAACAGTACAATTGCACTTTTCAAACCCATGATTAGTTGTGGGGCTGGCCTTCCCCCACCACCCCTTCCCTGTGATCTCTTGGTTCTCTAAGTTCCCTGCCCCAGCAGTACAACTAGGTTAGGCTATAAGTCAGAGAACAATAAGTAAGAGGTTGGCTACCCATTCTCCCACTGCCCTGCATGCCTCTCAAAGGCCCAAAGGCTCAAAAGACCTGGCCGGAGCCTTCCTGCTGGGAATTCCCTGCTCCTAGGTTGGGCTCTGCCTTACAGCACTTTAGTCCCGAGGATACCAGCTCTGGAAGCCCTTGGCATTTCCCCAGGATTCTCTGTGGCACAGGTGGGTAAGTGCTCCACTACTAAGCAGTAGCTTGGCGGTTTGAACCCACCCACCCAGAACTGCCTCAGAAGAAAGGCTAGGCAACTTGTTTCCTAAAAGTCACAGGTTTGAAAGCCGCACAGAGTGGCCGTGAGTCAGAACCAGTGCAGTCTGCCTTTCCATCCCACTCTGGTCCTTCATGGATGGGGGTCCCCATCAGGGAAGAGGTGTGGCAAGCTCCCAGGCCCACCGCCCCTCTCACCTCTCACCGGTGTCTACTGCAGCCTCCTCACCAGCTCCTCAGGCTGTTTACCTTCCCTAATGCCTGCTCTACCTGTGCACCTGCCCTCTGCTGTTAACAGCCAGGATCGTTTACTCTAAACAAAATAACATAAGCATCACAATGGTCAGGTTGGAAACCGGTCAAGGGGCTAGTGCAGGGCAGAGCTCCGTTCTATTGGGCATGGAGATACCAACTGGGAAGCATGAACAGCAACAACTACCGCAGGAATCTCCTCACAGTCAAGGCCACATTTATTGAGTGTCCTGGGATGGGCCAGCCGCAGGCCATGTGGAAGGGGTTCTGCAGAGGAAGGGTCAGACCTGGGTCCATTCGCTCATGACTGAGATTTAAAAACGGTGGTGCCACCGAAAACAATCAATTAAAAAACAACAACAACAGAATGTCAACCATCGTATTTCTATGTCTCTGAGAGGCATTGGGTAGATTGTTTTCCCACCACACGAAAAGGATACAATTGAAGTGATCTTCCCGTCATTACAGACCGTTTGCCATTTGGAAAGTCCTCTTTGGAAGGTGTTATGAATTGATTGTAATCCTCAAAACATGTGTTGCAAACCCTCACCTCTCTGTCTGTGTGGTTAAGGAACCCTGGAGGCGGTGTGGGCCGCATGCTGGACTATAAAACTGGCGATTGAAACCTACCAGCTGGCACACTGCAGGAGAAAGATGAGACGTTCGGCTCCCATAAGGATTTATAGTCTCAGAAATATACGGAGGGCCACTTCAAGTCAGAATCAATGTGAGGGAATGCATTTGATTATCATCCCATTTGGGAATGGGCTGTCTTCATTATGTAAATATGGCAGGAATAGTGTCGGGTGTTCTTGAGCCAATCTCTTTTGAGATAAGAGAGAGACTAAACAAGTAAGCAGAGGCGGAGAATGCGTGATAGCAAGCCACGTGATGACCACAGAAGCCCCAAGAGACAAGACCCTTCCTCCAGAGCCAACAGAGAGGGAGCAAGCATCCCAAATTTGGACACCTAGCCTCCTAAAGAGCAGGAGACAGACCAAGGGAGCTGCATTTGCTTTTCCTCTAAGAAAAGAAAAGGACCATCCTTGAAGCATTTTGGAGATGAACACAATAGTTTGAAGGAACTAGGAACGCTGGGTTGTGTTGGTTTCAGAAGGTAGGATGGAATCAACCTTCTGGGTTTGAAAGAGACCTTCACCCACATACCAATGGGGTCACAACCCAAAGCTGAAGGGATGGGGGGGGGGCACACCTAAGGGATAGAAGAACGGGGTCTTCAAAGGTTAAGAGAGTGGGATCATCACTCAGATGGACAAACGGGGCCACCTCAAGCCAAGGGAGCAAAGTTGCCATCCCAGAGACTCAATGAGTCCCCACCCCAAATCCAGAGCTCATGACCAC